TTCTCCTGTTTTCTCAGCCCAGAAATTCGTAATGAACCTGTCGGGCCGCTGCCACTCAGTGTCACATTGGATCGGCCACACTCCTATCCGACTGCTGATGGGACCTCGCCCCTGTATAGGGGGTAGTGGTGAGGTAGAAACTCCCTGTATAGGGAGTATAGGGAGTGGTAAGGTAGAAAATGGGCCTCGCTGCACTACTCTCGAAATGTGCAAAACGAGAGTGAATCGTCTGCAAGAAACTGGAAAGATACACCCCCTTGATTTTTCTCTGTTGTGCATGTCGAGAGTAGCCCAATGAAAGGTGAAATTGAGAGAAGAGTATGGCATCTTCCCTTGGAGAAGCGCAAGAGGCATCGGTTACTATGAATAGCAATGGATGCATCTTATCACTTTCTGAGGCAGATACATTGGTTCTCTTTTCGTTCGACAGTGGTCTGGCAAGGCCCTTAGCTAGACTGGATGATGCCTTCAGAGTTTTTCCGGCCTTTCCGGGTATAATTTTTTTTTTTTTTTTTTTTTTTTGGTTCCGGGTATAATGTTGGTAATAAGGGAATATGAATTTTAAGGGGGGCCGCAAAAATGGAAGGAGTGGGAGGAGAGTTCTTTTTTTCCCTTTTTTTTTTAATATATGGGAGGAGGGTTCAGATCAAGCTTTTTTTTTTTTTTTTTTTTGAATTGGGGCGCAGATCAAGCATTTGGGTTGGGCAAGTTTTTTAATTTTATTTTTTCCAACTGTTTTTTTCATATTAAATAACCAGGATTGGGGCCGGGGACACCACAATTCACCCCGGAAAATTGAATTTTTTGGTTACAGGTCGAGCGCACATCGGCAGAGGGGTATAGCAGTCGAGATCCGTACCCCTGGGGGATCACTGGCTACGAGGGGGAGGGGGAGGAGGAGGGGGAGGAGGAAGTTGGTCGGACATCTTGCGGGCACTGAACGAGATCGAAGACACTGATGTCAGGCGCAAACGGGGAGCACAGGGGGTTGATTAGCAAAGAGGCCAACTACACAGGGGTAGAGACGACTAGAGAGTAGAGAGAGGAGGAGGACGGCGGCATAGGGAGGGGGAGGAGGAGGATACGAGGAGGTAGGAGGTAGGAGGGAGGATGGAGGAGGTGGGAGGACATGCCGCTACACTAGACGTCGAATCAACATGTGAGAGGTGCTACTACCTCGAGGTTTGCGATCGGGAAGACAAGTTTGGTAAGCTGGACGAGTAGGAGTAGGAGGAGGAGGAGGAGGAGGAGGAGGAGGAGGAGGAGGAAGAGGGTGTTTGGGTGCATTCGGATTCGTTTTGGATTCATTTTCTGATCGATCGAACTTCCAAGTTTTCGACGGGAGGGTTGAGAGGAGGAATCTGGTCAATCTGGTGGAGCGGGAAAGGTTTCGCCGAGTCGGACGTGTTCTCGACATTTCCCAATCGAGAGGACAACGTACTATGAACACGACATAGAATGAATGAATCGAATCTGGGGCTCGACATTGGTAGGGTG